CAGAGTGGAGAGGTCAGCCGTCCGTGTCCGGCTCCAGGGACATGCTTCCCACCATGTGCAGCATGCATTCCTGACCCCTGCCCTGGAACCAAAATGGGACATCAGCTGGGCGCAGGGAAATTCAATTTGGGCTGACAGCCGGCGGCTGGGTAATGACAGGGCTTCTGCTTTGACATTTGGGGGGATGGTGAGGAAGGCCACAGAGTTTCCCATGGTTTGGCTAAGGAAGGTCTAAAGCTCAGGTCAGCTTGTTCATACAGATGGAGAAAAACCCTGACCATCAGGCCAGCTGCTTTACGGCGGGCTGCTAGCTTCCATTTGCTGTGTTCCAGCCTTCATGCCAATGCTTGGGTTTAAAAAAAAAAAAAGGGCAACAGGAATCTGTGAAACCCAGACTTTTCTCCCTTGAGTCTCTGCAATGGTCCCCCATGCCCACCATTACTTCATGGTCCCTTTCTAGCAGCTCCTGTTCCAGCCATCACACCTACTATCAGAAGGAAAGACGAAGAAGGAAAGCAGGCCTTTTTCCTTTAAGGATGCTTCCTGGAAAGGGCACCTGCTGCTTCTACTTTGTGTGAATTTAGTTGTCAGTTACAAAACAAACAAACAAACAAAAGAAGCCTAGGAAATAAAACTTGATTCTGTGAGAAAGCTCTTGCCAGCCTGAGTGTTATCATCACCAAGGAGAACAGAGCTTTGTGTCATGCTGATATTACTGAAACCTAAGCTCTGCAGGCAGACTGTGGAGTTTTGAGTCGTAGATCCATAGTTCCACAGTCCTGTGACCTCGGAAGAGCTACTTAACCACTCTGTGCATCCCCTACCATCTGTAAAATCCCTACTATGTGCCAGGGATTCCTGAGCATTAGATGAGTTGAGGCGCATGCCTGGTACATGGTAGGAGGTGCCTCTCTGTCCACTGCTGTCAGATTGACTGACTGCTCCACGTCACATTACCGCAGCTGCTCCTGCCTCCCACGTCTGCCACCATTGCTACTGCTTCTGTTGGTACTGCTGCTGCTCCCCTTAGTGCCACCTGTCTATGGTCTCTATCACTGCCACCTCTAAAGGACATTGTACTGAGTGGGGACACGGTGGCCGGTAGGGAGTGTGAGGCAGGTGTTGAGATCTGCTGCTCTTCCATTACCTGTTTTGGGTACCGGTTTCTTGGTGGTAAAAATTCATCAGGTGGCAGCCAGGTGTTAGTGGGTCATGCCTGTAATTTGAGCAACTACGGAGGCTGAGGTTAGGAGGATTGTGTTTTGAGGCCAATAGGCAGAAGATTCTACAAGACCCCATTGGAATGGAAAAAAGCTAAGTGTGGGGGTGTGCTCCTGACATCCCAGACTCTGGATCCAGGTGAGCACCCAGGCAGGATGTGAGACCCTACATCAAAAATAAGCAGTGGAGGGGCTGGGAAGGTGGCTCAGTGGTAGAGTGTTTGCCTTGCATGCATGAGGCCCTGGGTTCAATCCCTCAGCACCACATAAGCAGAAAAAGCCAGAAGTGGCACTGTAACTCAAGTGGTAGAGCGCTAGCCTTGAGCTGAAGAGATGAGGGACAGCGCCCAGGCCCACAGTTCAGGCCCCATGACTGACAAAAAATAAAGAAAGAATTGAAGATCTTAGCTGGGCACTTAGGTGGCTCACACCTGTAATCATAGCTACTCAAGAGGCTGAGATCTGAGGATCGTGGTTCAAAGCCAGCCTAGGCAGGAAAGTCCATGAGACTCTTATCTCCAATAAACCACTCAGAAGACTGGAAGTGGTGCTGTGGCTCAAGTGGTAGAGTGCTAGCCTTGAGCTGAAGAGCTGAGGGACAGCGCCCAGGCCCAGAGTTCAGGCCCCACAACCTGCCAAAAAAAAAATTAAAAAAAAATAAAATAAGCAGTGGGGAAAAAAATGGGTCTAGAAGTATGACTCAATGTAGAACACCTTTCTCACAAAGTCAGGGCCCCTAAGTTCAAACCCAGTACCGGTAAATTAAAAAGAATTCCTTGGGTGTCTCACACTTCTGATAGACAATGCAACGTGTTCATCTCATACTTCATTAAAACTCGTCATGCACCCGGAAGGTGATGGAACAGGAGCAGCCCCGCTGCTGCCTGATACACGGCTGCTCTGAACTTAACAGGAGGTCGTAGGTCTGCGTTCCTACCTCTTGCTGCCACATCTAACAGACATCTGTCTACTGCACAATACTCATATACCAGAACCAGCTAGGATGCTTGGGATACAGAAAGCATGAAGAAGACACGCCCCAGTAAGGCACTGTCAAAAAGAGGCGGGAGAGGTCAATGCCAACACTGTACAGCTTGACAGCCACCAATGAGGCTCGGGTGGTACACACACATAAAAGACCCAGCCACACAGCCAGGTCTGCTCCAGTGACTACAAATGGAAGTTCCCACATGCAAGGGCAAGCTGACCACCTGCAGACTCCATCCAGAGCTAGACAGCAGTGTTCCACCCCGGCTGACCCGCAGAGGAGGGGTCAGATTTCCTTGTTTTGTCTGTCACTGTCACGTGTGAGCTTAGTAGCTGGCAACCGCCGAGTTCACTAGAGGAGAAAGGGAAACATAGAACTAGAGCCTTCCCATGTTCATCACCTCCCAAGTATAGGCAACTGATGTTTCAAACCATGAGTGAACAAATGAATGAATGATTCAAATCATAACCCAAGGCAGTACAGTTATCATTCTTGGAAAATCACAAGGTGAGGAGGAGGAGAGAAGTAGCAGCTGTTGTTTTGTGTGTGTTTGTGTGTGTGTGTGGTATGTAAATGTGTGTATGTGTATGTGCTGGGGCTTGAACTCAGGGCCTAGGCACGGTCCTTTAGCTTTTTTACTCGATTGGTATTCTACCACTTGAGCCACAGCTCAAGTGGCAATTAACTGGAGATAGGAGTCTCATGGACTTCCTGGCCTAAGCTGGCCTCAAACTGTCATATCAGATCTCAGCATCACCAGGACCCAACTCAACAGCCTCAGTTTTGACTCCCGACTCTGGCTTCTTGCCACTCTCTCCTACTTAAGATATTTTCAAATAACAAATCGTCTTTAAAAACTATTTTTACCACCAGGTACCAGTGGATCATGCCTATAATCCCAGCTACTCAGGAAGCTGATCTGAGGATCACAGTTCAGAGCCAGCCTGGGCAGGAAAATCTATGAAACTCTTATCTACAGTGAACCACCAGAAAACCAGAACTGGCACTGTGGCTCAAGTGGCACAACACTAGCCTTGAGCTGAAGAGCTGAGGGACAGTACCCAAGCCCAGAGTCCAAGCCCCACAACCAACAACAACAAAAACTATTTTCACAAACAATGCATGTTTTCTCTCATGCACAGCAGCTATATATAAAATACAAGATAAATTATACATGACTCTAAACAGCGAAAGGAATACAATTCCTATGTGCCTATCATACAAAATAATATTTAACAAAATGAACTCCAAGAAATGGAAATAAGAGTTTTCTTCTTTTTCTTTTCTTTTTTTGACTGGTTTGTTTTCCATCTTTGGGAAGGGTAAGGTGTGGTGGGGGGACACAGAAATGGAGGGACATGGGGCGACCAAATTCAGCAGTGGTATGCAGTAGAAACTATGTTGAAAATGAACTATACAACTTGTGGGCAGGGACAAGAGGGAAAAACTGGGAGAGAATAAAGAAAAAGGTGACATTGTCCAAAAAGAAATGTACTCATTAACCTGACTTACATAACTTTAACCCCTACATACATCACCTTTAGAATAACAACTTTTTAAAAAATATATTTAAAGAGCCTACTTTCAGCCAGATGCTGGTGGCTCACACCTGTAATCCTAACTACTCAGGAGGCTGAAATCTAAGGATTGCAGTTTGAAGCCAGCCTAGGCAGGAAAGTCTGTGAGACTCTTATCTCCAATTAACCACCAGAAAACCAGACGTAGTGCTGTGTCTCAAATGGTAGAGAACTAGCTTTGAGTACAAAGAGGCTCAGGGACAGTGTCCAGGCCCTAAGTTCAAGCCCCACAACCAACAATAAATGAATAAACAAACCCTACTTTCATAGACTAGACATAGTGGCTCACCTCTGTAATCTCAACTATGCAGAAAACATAGGAGATAGAGGTCTGAGTGTGGACAAAAAGAACAAGATGTTGTTTAAAAAATAATTAAAGCAAAAAGAGCAAGGGGCGTGGCTCAAATGGTATAGCACTTGCCTTCAAAGTACAAGGCCCTAAATTCAAATCCTAAAGCCACCACAAAAAAACCCCAAACCCTCAAAAAAACTATTTTCATGCTAAAAATGAACTATTCACTGTGTTCTGTGTGCCTATATTATTCAAAATCCTTTTCTGTACATCTAACCTACACTAAAATAAATAATTATTACCCTCTTTGCTTGAATAAGGCAACAAGACACAGAGACAACCAATGGTTTGTCTGTAGTCATACAGCAAGTCAGTTTCAGGCCCATTGACTTTGATTTGCAATTGACTTTAGAGTCTCAGACTCTGCAAGGTTTCCCAGCTGAGGAAGCGGGGGGGGGGGGGGGGGGGGAGGGGGGGGTGTCAGGGAAAAGTGATGTTAAATGCAGCTGGGTAGTAAGCAGGACTGGTGGGTGAGGTGGGTGAGCTGAATGAAACGTTTCCCGAGAGCCTCATGCCTGGTGGACTTGGGCGTGGCTAACATGCCACCTGCTACTGTTGGTGGCATCATCGTCCTTATCACCAACAATATCCCTGACTTCTGGAACCTTTGCAGTCCTGACTTTACTTCTGAATGAAGACCATGGGTTATGGCTATGGTAGAAAATACAAAATCCACAAACACCAGCCAGCTCATTGCCACCGACGATCACGAGGATTGCGTTTGTGCCAGATTCCCTTGCTCGTGTTTTGTAGCATTTTGCATTCTGACCCCTTCCTACCCTCCACCCACACCCCCCTACCATGGTCCCTCTGCTCTTCCCAGGCCAGGCTGGCCGGACACAACACACTGTAGAATCACTCACCGATTCCATAGTGAATCTCTCGAGGAAAAACTGGAGAGCCTGGAGGCCGAAGATCTCATGTCTCAGCCGTCACATCCGAAAATGACCTGCAGGAGGGTGGGAGAGAGGGTGACAGGTCATCCACTGGGCGGGAGACCCTGCCTCAGGCCAACGCTGTCCCTGCCTGGAGGTGTTGAGCCACGCTAGGAACCAGCACGGCTGTCCAGTATTTTGAGGGAGAACTTGTGCACCCCACTTAGGAGCCGTCAACTCCATTGGTGTCTGCGTAACGAAGCCTCAGGGATCCTTCTGGCGTTCTATTTCTGGCTCTACGTTGGAGAGCAATTTATAAGTCATTAACTTCTCTACACGAAGGCTCTTAAATATGAACTTAACAGCGTGCTGTGGGGTGAGACAGACAGACAGGCAGGCAGGCAGGCAGACAGACACTGCTGGGTGACCATGGGAAGGCAGAGGTGTTCCTTTGGCCAAAGAACCTGTCCCACGAAGGAGGTAGAGACAGATGAACATACATACCCCAGGACAGGCCCTCTGAACCTGGGAGATGATTTAAATTTATTCATGCATACCAAAGCTTAATTAATTGCTGAGTGCAAGGAGTACAGGAAGCCTGGGATGAAAGGTGTTGGGTAAGAGAACGGTTTCAATACATGGGGAGCATCACAAGCCAGAGGCCTGCTTGGTTCTTCCCCAGGGATGAGCCTGCACCTCTAGGCAGGCCAGAAACTCCATGCTCTCATCCCTATAGCCAATTCAGTCCCTAGTCATGGCTACTTTCCTTGCTAAATATTTCCCTCTATCTCTCTCCACAAAGCCCTGGATCAAGCCCCATCATTCTTACCTGGGCCACAGCCAGTGCCTCCATCTGATGCCCCCCCCCCACATATCCCACCATTCCCTCTGGAAATCTGGTCTCCAGTGCTAAAATCAGAATAATCTCTCTCCTCTCCTCCCCTCTCCCCTGTCTCTTCTCTCTCTCCTGTTCCCTCTCCCTCTTCTCTTTTTCCCTCTCCTCTTCCCTTTCCCTTTCTCCCTCCTCCTTTTCCTCTTCCTTATTCTTCCTCTCCTCTCTCCCCTCCTTCTCTGCTTTTATTACACACACAACAGAGAATTGCATCACGAATCCAGCACCAATCACCAGCAAGCCATTTTCAATCTTAGCCACCCACACCCTCTCCCTCCCCAGCACATTATAGTTCCAGGCATTTTATCAATTCCATAGTTATTACCGCCTATCTCAAAGATAAGGTCTTTCATAAAAATATAACGGCAATACCACTGCCACACTTCCAAAAGATGATAATAGTCCCTTGATATCATCAAATTCCTATACAATGTTCAAATTCCTAGTAGTCTCGTAGAAATGCCAAAATTAATGTTTGTTTTGAAAGAAAAAAATTGTACCCAAGTAAGGCTCATGCCTTCCAGCTGGTTGATATGCAAGTGACAGGTGGAAAGCATGACCCTGATTTTGTTACCTCCCACCTCTCTGCTTCCAGCTGAATATCTTTAGTAGCTTCTCAACACTCTGGGATGAACACTGAAATCATTTAATATGGTCTGACGTGTGTCCAGCTCTCTGGCTTCATCTTGCCCCCAGAATCACTGCTGAAACTCTGAGGCTTTTGGCATTCAGCAAAACCAACTAGTACACATGAAAATATTAATTTATACACAAAAGTGAATGTAAACTCTGGTTGCAAAAAAATGAAAACCAGGCCAAGCACTAGTGGCCCACGCCTATAATCCCAGCTACTCAGGAGGCCGAGTTCTGAGGATCATAGTTCAAAGCCAGCACAAGCAAGAAAGTCCATGGGACTCTTGGATCTATTTAAGCACCAAAAAGCCAGAAGTAAAGCTGTAGTTCCAAGTGGTGGAGTGCTAGCCTTGAGGAAAGTAAGGTAGAAGGGAAGGAGAAAGGGAGGGAGAGAGGGTGGGAAGGGAGGGAAGGAGGGAGGGAGAAGGAAGGAAGGGAGGAAGGAAGGAGGGAGAAAAGAAAGGAAAAAGAAAAGAAAAAGAAAGGAAGAGAGAAAGAAAGAAAGAGAAAGAGAGAGAGAGAAAGAAAAGCTCAGGGACAGCACCCAGGCCCTGAATTCAAGCCTCAGGACTGGCAGAAAAAAAAAACTAAGAAAGCCAGGCACCCAGCAAAAGTACAATGAGTGTAGATAGAATTACTTGGTACCAATTTGACTCACAAAAGTCCTCCAAGAGGCCAAGCAAAGTGGCCCATGTCTGTAAACCCAGCCCCTCTGCAGGCAGAAACTGGGAGGCTAGGTACAGTGGTATGCATGTAATCCTAGTTACAAGGCAGGCTAAGAGGATCATAGTCTCTTAGGCTGCTTTAAAAATAACCCAAAAGTACAGGCCCATTTGAATGACTGTGAGTCGGGCCTGGTTGTCCGGGGCTGAGGGCTGTCCTGGGTGGCCAAGCGCGATTGTGGCACTTTGCAGCACCATGAAGCACCGGTGTTTAAGAGATTATGGTATCTGAAACCCACAAGGTTAAAAAACAAAATTTTTGTAATAATACTGAGGAGCTTTCCGTTGATCTAATAAGAACATGAAGAAGGTTAAGAAATCTCTGAAAGAGTTGACTGCTTACATAAACAGAACAGTGAGACACACTGTGAAAAGCCCAGATAAACTACATAAGGTGATCTAGCACGGACAGAAAGTCTATCATCCCTTCCCAAATCCTTGTTACAAAAAGGACAGGGAGAAGTGGAGGCTGTGACATGGCAGATAAAGAAAATGAACTAGCTTGTGCAGGCCATCTGCCTGAAGAGTTACGCCGTGATAGTCCAATGTACTTGGTTAACCCCAGTGCAGTTGGTTCTTCACAAACAGAAAACCTATCATCAAAATTTAGTAGGTTTTTTTTTTTTCCCCCTGAGGTTTCTCAGGATTATGAGACAATGGCTCAAGTTTTATTCAGCAGGAATTTGAGGTTGAATATAGCTCTAACATTCTAGAGAAAGAGAAGTATTGGAGGTGTGGTGGATTGCCTCTCTGTGCTCACCAATAGTTTGCAGGAAGAAAAGCAGTATGTTCTCACTGCTGTGTAGACTTGTTGCCTATAGTGAAGTCATTACTTAAGAGCAAATTTGAAGAGTATGCAATAGTTGGTCTAAACTGGCTTCAAGCAGTAATAAAAAGGTGGTGGTCAGAACTGTCATCCAAAACAGAAGTTATAAATGATGGAAATAATAAGATTTTAAAGCAACAATTAAATGGATTGTGGGAATGGGAAAACCATCTTACTTATGCTTCAGGATATACTGGCAATATAAGCTAAGGATGTAGATACTTATTTATAGTTGCATTGAGACATTTCATCTACTAAGGAGCATCTGGTTATTCTGAACGTCGTTGGACTATATGATTTCCCCCAAATAGGTCTCTTCTGAGAACTGTGAACTGTGGGGAAAAAAATCAAAATCATTTTTCTTTCAAAAGCCATATAATAAAACAACTAATGAAACTCATAGCAATCTACTTCACATTGAAATGGAAAAACATCCAAAAGGAGCAGCTCCAACCTCAATGAGGTAGAAGTGCACTGTTAAGATTGTTCACCTGCTGCTTTGGGATGCTTTGTTATTTGGTCACATTGTTTAAGAACTATTGTTCTTACTACAATCCTGCAAAGGAAGATCAATTATACTACATGAGGAAATAAGAGAGGACTTATTACTAGAACTACAAAGACCAATCATTAATTTTTGTGTTTTATAAGAAACACTGTAATGGATGAAGCTATTTTCTAATGTTGAAAAGACTTTGAAAGTTTGAAACACCATAGTAAGTAATACTAAAAAAATTTTGTGCACACTGATACTGATAAAAAAAATGCCTTAATTATTAATAAGCCAATGTGATAGGATACCAATATCTGCTTTTTTAAATTAAAACAAATCATGCTTCTGGCATGATGAAAATCATGGAATTAAATCAGGGGTTTACATTTTTGTAGTGTTGTTCTGTGAAACATATTCCATATCATTTTCAAACTTAAGAGTATATTTTTAGTATTTCTGACTTTTTTCCAGAATTTTCCTATCAAGTATGTATTTATCTGTATATAAAGAAAAAGGTGAATATGTATATCTATGAATGTTTAACTGGAAATGTCTGGAGCTGACTAACTTATATCTGATTTTTTTACATAGATTTCTAATATTTTCATTTCTGTGCCCTTTAAACTGCTTCTATTTGAGTAAATTCACAAAATATTTCTTTTCTTTTCTTGGGGGGGGGTCCGGTCATGGGGCCTGAACTCTGGGCCTGGGCGCTGTCCCTCAGCTCTTCAGCTCAAGGCTAGCGCTCTACCGCTTGAGCCACAGTGCCACTTATGGCTTTTTTCTTTTTGTTGATGTGATGCTGGGGAATTGAACCCAGGGCCTCATGCATGCAAGGTAAGCGCTCTACCACTGAGCCACCTTCCCAGCCCTCACTAAATATTTCTAAAAAAAAATAATAACCTAAAAATAAAAGGGCTGAATGCTAATGCTGAATGTGCAGCATAAAGTATGCAAGGCCCTGAGTTCAAATCCCATTATATTAAAAAAAAAAAAAAATGGGGTGTGTGAGTGTGTGCGCACATGAATGAGTGAACAAGAGAGGGAGCGAGGAGGAAAGAAGGAGAAAGGGAAGGAGAGATGGAGAGAAAGAGAGGGGGGAAGTGGGAGAGAGCAAAGGAAACAGGAAGAGAGGGAGGCCAAGTAAAGAGAGAGAGAAAGAGGCATAGAGGTAAGATAGATAATAATGAATCAGCGTTATCGAGCTTAAAATCAAGCTCAGACATAGGAATTAATGTGTCCAAGACAGTGCATGGCAGAAGTGAGCCTCGAACCCAAGCTGTTTGATGCAAGGACTGTAAGCCAGGCTCCCTCTACATAAGATGCCGCCGGTCAGGTGACTTCCTCATCCCCCGCCTACCTCCAGGCTTGGCCATTCCTCTGATAGGTGGTGGAGCTGCTGAATGGAGTGGCAAGACCACTGAGCTTTAAGCCAAAGAACCAGGGTTCTGGTCTCCCCTGCTCCGCAGCAGAACTGTCCCTTCCCGGGTGAGCCTCTCATGTCCCTG